TCTAATCCTTTTCCTTGTAGAGAAATAACAGCTACCCTGTCATCTCTTTGATATGAGCCATCCCGAACCAGAGACTTTTAATTTCCTGTCGGCTTTCCCCCAATATTCAGTTTAAAAACTGCTCTGCCACCTTTTTGATTTTAAGCGCCAGCAGCCTGGTTCCTTCTTGGGACAAGTGGAGACTGTCTCTTTTGTACAGCTCCCTCTTGTTCCAAAAAGCATCCCAGTGCCTAACAAACTGGAACCCTTCCCCCCTACACCATCGTCTCATCCATGTATTGAGACTCCTGATCTGTGCCTGTCTCTCCGGCCCTGCGTGTGGAACAGATAGCACTTCTGAGAAGGCTACCTTGGAGGTCCTGGCCTTGAGTTTCCTGCCTAGCAGCCTAAATTTTTCCTCCAGGACCTCATGACTGCATTTCCCCACATCGTTGATGCCAACATGTACCACGGCCACTGGCTCCTCCCCAGCACTATCTACCAGCCTATCTAGAACACGTGTAATGTCTGCTACCTTCTCTCCAGGCAGGCACATCACCATGTGGTCAGTACGTGGGTTCGCCACCCTGCTGTCTACCTGCCTGATCGAATCACCAACTACCAAGAGCCCCCCTCCCTACCTGCCAAGGGATGGTTCCTTGGTGCGAAAGGATACCCGTTCACCAGCTGAAGAAGAGGTCCCTTCTGAGGGCACATTCCCCTTATCCGCAGCACGGTGCTCTGTTTCGACCCTCATGCTCCCTGACAGCGGCGGGGCTGCCATATTCAGAGTGGGACATATCTAACAAGTCCACGAGAGTCTTCTCCATGCACCTAACTGACTGTCTCTGCTTCTCCAGGTCTGCCACCTTGGCCTCAAGGGAGCAAATTCGTTTCCTGAGAACCAGGAGCTCATTAGGCATACACCCAAGACTTCTATCCCTTTGGCAGATAGTCATACATGTGACACTCCATGCAAAACACTGGATAGGCCCCAACCCCCTGGTGGCATTCTGGCTTCATAATTGCTTTTAAAATAATAATTATATATAACCCCCCCTTTTAAAACCCTTTCTGTTTATGTGGTTCTCCTTGTAGAAGTCTACTTACCTTACTGGGAACACAAGGAAACTAGGGCACTGGCTTTCTGGCTCTTCCTGCATCTGATTCAGCTTTGAGACAGGTCTTCTGTACAGTGATAATATATATTTTACATTATGTGTACATGATTTTTTCAGTTCAGTAATTACCACATGATGATGTGAGGTCAACTTGATTAACAACAAGACCTGTTGGAGGAAGTGCAGTTTAAAAAATGCAAGTGGAATCATTTCCAGATCCGGGGGGCAGGGTTAGAACCAAAGGCTTGTGTACACTTAAAGGTAAAGGTAAAGGTTCCCTTGCTCGAAAGCCAGTCGAATCCGACTCTAGGGTTGCGGTGCTCATCTCCGTTTCAAAGCCGAAGAGCCAGCGCTGTCCGAAGACGTTTCCGTGGTCATGTGGCCGGCATGACTAAACACCAAGGCGCACGGAATGCTGTTACCTTCCCACTGAAGTGGTCCCTATTTATCTACTTGCAATTTCTTGCTTTCGAACTGCTAGGTTGGCAGGAGCTGGAACTAGAGATGGGAGCTCACCCCATCATGCGGCACCCGGGTCTTGAACTGCTGAACTACTGACCTTCCACAGCCTGCAGTTCAGCATCTTAACCACTTGAGCCACCGCAGTGTACACTTAGATGTGTAAATATGCTCAGGATTGGACTAAGACTCCACTAGCAGGTCTGTAATAACATTTTGTGGAATGGCTGGCTTAAATTTGCAAGTTCTGTCACATTCAACATGGTAGTAATCCACTTTTCATAGATGCAGTTTCACAACATGAATGTAAAACTCTGAAAAAATAATAAAAGAGGAAAGGTGTGGGTTGCCTGAAGTCTGTCCACCTGTTTTTAATTTAACTTTCCAGTGTTAAAAATATAATGTTAAAATGACATAGAATACGACACAGCAAAAAGAGTGCGAAAGAGCTAGCATTTACTTTAATCTACATTTGTGGATATCTGTACATTTCTGCTGAGCTCCACCAGGTCTTGGTAGTCATCGTTCCTTTGCCAATATTTTTTAAAAAGATATTCATAAATGACTGAAAATAAAGTGGAGGTTGGAAATACCCAAGCCAATAAGAAAAATAAATAGATCCAATTCACTTTTTGATTTTTAAGGGACACACTGTACAGGGCATATCAACCTTTATGTTTTTGATTGAGTTATCTCTAGTGTAGGAACAGAGGTATGATGAAAAACAAAGTTGACTTTGCACATCCCTAATTACCAGAGTGGCTTGGGTATTGGTTATGTCCTTGGTATAACTTAAGAGATGATTCAGCGGTACATCCATTTTGTGCACTCTGGGGATTAGGCCAGACAATTGGATCTCATGGGTGTATGTTGCTTTTATACAGCTAAACCAGCTACGATCAGTCATGGCATGTTTTTTGGCTATTTAGACAACAAAGTAGCAGAGAAAAACACATAGGCAGTTATATACCAGTAATCCTGTTTACTAAAACAGAAATAGCTGAGACAGCTAGGGCAGATTGCAAAGTCTGATGAGACTGGATTTTGTAATAGAACCAGGATCACTTCCTCCCCTAATTCAGACTGTTCACCGAATCAGATTCCAGTCCAATCCAACCAATGTCCTCCTGTCCCTTTTCCTGTTACTCAGAGAGACAGTGTCCCAGGGGAGAGATGGCTATGCAGAATTTGAAGACAGTGGCAAATGCAAGCCGATGGATACAAGCCCACAGTCTGCTAAGATTTAAAAACAAAGCAGTTATGCTGTCTGCCTTAGAGTCATGGGGAGAGTTAGAGTTAGGAGAGAGAAGCTCGGTGTTTCCCTCCCTCCTCTTAGAAGACTGTCAGGAAACAACTGGATCAAGAGCACACGGGGGGGGGGGCAGCTTTTGTCTGTCTTAACACCATGAGGACCATTTGAACACGAGTGATGCACATTCGGACAAAAGCATGGTCAAATGTATAAAAATGAGCAGAGCTTAAGACATACACAACAACATATTTGTTAATTTTGTAAAGATGAGCCAGGATTCAGGTGTGGTCAGCTTGAAGAACTTAATTTTAAACCGAAATTTGGCATCAGCCAATGTTTGCATGGCATTAAGTAGGAAGGGGGGGAAATCAATGAAAAAAGATGGTGCCTGAGAGAATAAAATCCCTGCTGGCTTGCACCCATCGGGAGGCATTCTTGAGCCTATTTTCTTGCTGTTGTGATGAAGGTGAATCTTTGTTGTGCTCTGTTTTTGGCTGTGCTTCATAGCTGGGTGGGTTAAAACTGCAATTTTAAATTATCCATTTATCTTAGTAGAAGCCTTGGGGCATTACCTTGCTGTTACCTTCCAGGTAGTAATTTACTTTGACATCTTCTCTTGGTTGTTCTTCTTAAATAAATAAATAAAGTATGTTACAGTCATCAGTATGGTTGTTTAGTTGAGTTTGTGGGAGACGTTCTGCTGCTCTGCATGACTCATTTTTCTTAAAGATATTCAAAGATGTTTCGTTCCATACATGGATGCTTACTTTGTCATCCCCTGCTTTCTTCTTTCCAGGGCCTTTATGTTTTCGTGGTGTATTTTATTCTACACAACCAGCTGTGCTGCCCTGTAAAAGCAAGTTACACAGTCGAGATGAATGGGCATACAAGTCCCGGCTCTGCGTTTTTCACCCATGGCAGTGGCATGCCCCCAGCAGGAGGAGAGATCAGCAAATCTACTCAGAACCTTATCAGTGCTATGGAAGAGGTACTGGCATTGCCTCGGCATTTAGAGAACAGATGCATTTATACACTTATCGAGAACTTTGAGATACAGATACGAGAGCCAGGGCTATCCAGTGGATAGTCTCAACACATATGGGTTAAAAATCTTATCTCTGCTACAAGCTCATTGCATAGCATCGAGCCACTCGAAATTCCTCAAGACCTAACTATACATTGTACAGAAGACCACTGTCACATCTCCTGAAGTTTATTTTAACATTTAATGGGGAGTGGGTATTTGGATCAGAACCATGGAGCAAGGGGTTAACAATACAGGGATCTGTCATTTTCCTCTATGGGAGTAAACAATAACTAGAGATGGGATTCTGTTTCAGGAGTGGCAGTGGGAAAAGGGGTGTTCCATGTAACTTGTAGTTTGACCCTTGCTCTTAGCTCCCCATTGGTATGACTGAGACATCACAAGGTTGTATACAAGGTGAGGGCAAATGTACTAAAGACTGCAGAGCACTTATTTATTTGCAAACATTTAGATTTGTGGGCTACTTTTGCACCAAATAAGAGCGTCTCAAACCAGCTCGCAATAAACATACAAAATAAGCAAAACCACAAACAGTATAAAGAGAGATACCACTTAAAGCCTAGCAAAAACAGGAAGTTTTCCATAGGTAGCTTAAAGCCTCCAGTGGAGCAGGGTTAATTGTAAAAGGGAGCTTCATAATGCCAGTGCCAGCACTGTCTGCTCAAGAGATGAAGAAGGGATTGGATTTATACCCCTTCCCTCACTACCCGAAGGAGTCTCAGAGCAGCTTACAATCTCCTTTCCCTTCCCCTCCCCACAACAGACACCCTGTGAGGTAGGTGGGGCTGAGAGAGTTCTTTGAGAACTGCTCTTGAGACAACAGCTCTGAAATAACTTTTGACCAATGTTCCCTCTAAGCTGTGGCATCTTGTGAGCCAAAATTCTACTTTGTGAGCTACTAGCATTAAAGTTGTGAGCGAGCAATTTGACTTCTGTATAAATCAGTTCGCTCTGGAACCATTCTTCCTGAGCGAAGATAAAAATGTGTGAGCCGGAGGTTAAAAACCTGTGAGCTAGCTCATACTAACTCAGCTTAGAGGGAACACTGCTTGTGACTGACCCAAAGCAGCTGCATGTGGAGGAGTGGGGAATCAAACTTGGATCTCCCAGATTAGAGTCCGCGCTTCTAACCACTACACCGGACTGGCTCAAGTGAAAGCCCTCATTGTGGACCATGATGGCAACTGGAACATTTGGTTCTCTGCTTGATCTTTACTCACGAGGTGGGAAGAGAGACAGATAGGAGAAGGTTCTTCCTCAGACATCAGAGACCCAGGGTGTGAAAGGCCAAAAACAGACATTTGAAACTGTTTGGTAGCCAGTGCAGGTTAAAAAAAGAATCATAGTTTATATGCATGTTGCCACTAGCTCCACTGCTGCATTTTGAGCCTGTAGGACTTGCCCCACCATTTTCAAATGAAGACTTCTGTACAATGCAATTGAAGCAGTCAAGTCAAGAGACTATGAGTGGATACAAGGTGGTGGCCAAGTTCTTATCTTCTTGAAAGCACTACAGCAGGCAAATCAGCCAAAACTGGAAGTTCGCTGTCCTGGCTATGGCCATCACATAGGCATCTGTAGGCAATACGAGATATAAGAGCATCCTCAAGGAGCCATGTACATGGTAAATGTTCTTTATTGCATTTGTATCTTTCCTCAGAGAGGTGTTTTATCCTCATAACCAGCCTTCAGATGTCTGTTAGACTGAAGCTCTATACAGACAGTTATGAGTGGGGCATCATTGAAAGTGTGGAGAGGGAAGCAGGGTTGCACCCACAGCCCCAGCCTCCATGCCCTGACTAGCTCATCTGCATAGAGCCTTCTGCACGTTCACAGAGACTGTGCGGATGAGCCCGTCAGTGTTGGGTGGAGTCAAGGGTGAAGAGCCAGTGGAAGCTCTTTATGGGTAGATTGTCTCCACAAATTAATCATCTGCACAGGCTTAAGAAATGGAGATCTGCCAAAACTACTCAGTGAGTTTCATAGCTGAGCAGGAATTTCAACCTGGAATCACCACATCCATACCCAACTACTGTACCATGCTGGCTATTTAGCAGCAAAAGCTCAGTTCACAATTCGTGCCTGTAAATCACAGGCAAGCAAAATTATTTTGTGCAATGACTCAAGCTTGTTGTTTTTGTAAAATTACCATTCTTTCTGCACTATTGCTGTGCTGCAAGTTCTATGGGCGTTAACTCATTATAGAGTCCATGGAAAGCAGGTCACAATTTGACGTCAGTCACCCACTTTACCTTTTCAGGTTCCTGTAGATCTAGCCATTAGAGCCCTGACAAGTTGCTTTGTTGTATATTGAATGGTTCATAGAAAAACACCTTGGTCCATGTGTGGCTATAAGCCCTAATGGAGTAGTGAAGGATGCTGGGGAAATAACCTATTCAAAGATTAGTAGTTGAAAAACAAATGTATTTATTCAGGCCATTTTTGAGGTATCAGAGAAGAAAATGGTCCCATCTACAGACGTATTTTGAGACGACAGAATTTGGGAAAATTCTTTGGAGAAACTACGGATGTGTGGTTGGGGATTTGTTTTTTCTTATAGTCCACGACTGCAAGAAGGGGAGGCAAGGCAGATAAAAATTATTTGGGATGGGGCTGATCACTCTTGAAGTTCACAATGCTGGATAAATCACGTGGTTTGCTTTTATATGATGTTAGTGAGATCTGGGTATTGTGAGGGGAAAGGGGGTCTATGTTGGCTCTCAGCAGCTCTGTTGAAGTCCGAATAGGTGGAACAGACTTTGACATCTCAGTAAAGTGAACAAGAACAGAGTACTTCTATTAAATGACTCATTAAGAGAAGCATGTCAAGATGGATTCCTAGCTGAGGGAGACCTGAGGGAATCAATACCATCGCAGAAATGCTTAGGAGCTGGGGTCATAAGGAATCCTTGCAAGGCCTCATGCAGACAGTTGCCATTTACACCTCTGGAAATAAGTGTAGGCTGCTTAATTTATCTTTCTACAGATGCCAGCTGACTGGGAGAGAGCATCATTGAGGCCACCCAGTCAGGCCAGTGCTGTCTTCAAGCAGAGCCCACAGAATGGCAGCGCTTTCACAGCTCCTGGAGGGTTCAGCAACAGCTCCTTGGTGGCTGATGAAGAATCACAAGAATTTGATGATCTAATATTTGCTTTAAAAACTGGTGAGTGTGATTTCGTTATGAAGCATGCATGCCATGCTTTCAAATTCAACAGGTCTTTACAGAGATCAGGTGCACTTTTTTGCTATTGCGTTTGGGCTGCCAGTGCAAATTAGAGCACAAGCGTTGATTAAACACAAATGTTTATTCCCTGTACTTATGTTAATGATATAATATTGATAATAATAATAATAATAAATATGAATAAAAGTTAATATGCAGGAGGAAGGCAGTGTGGTGTAGCCCAATCTTGTCAGATCTCGAAAGCTATGCAGGGTTGGTTCTTGGATGGGAGACCACTAAGGAAGATTCTGCGAACGAAGGCAGTGACCAATGACCTCATTTTTCTCACTTGCCTTTAAAGCCCCTTGCTGGGGTCACCTAGGGTTGCCAGGTCCCCCCAGCCATTGGTGGGGGGTGGAGGCATAGGATGGTCAAATCCAGGTTGGGAAACTCCTGGAGATTTGGGGGTGGAGCCTGGGGAGGAGGACAGGGACCTCAGTGGCATTACAATGCCACAGAGTCCCCCTCCAATGCATCCATTTTCCTCCAGGGGAACTGATCTCTGTAGTCTGGAGATGAGCTGTAATTCCAAGGGATCCCCAGCTCCCACCTGGAGGCTGGCATCCCTAGGCCACCATAAGTTGGTTGCAATTTGAGGGCTCTTCCATATGTACATAACGATGATATGCAAATATTTTTAAAAGCACATACAAGCAAATTTATTTGTTAAAAGCATTATAGTTTTGCCTTAACCCAACAAATGGTAGGCTATTAAGCTATGGTAGAACTTTTAATGGATTTTCTCTCAACTACTTGAGCTGAGCTTTAGTGTACAATATGAAGGTAATAGTAGTCTTATATCCAGTTCATACGTGCAATGGTATTTCCAAATATTGTGCTCTAATGGCCTCGGGTTCATATTTGTTCACATTTGTGTGGAGGAAATAGCAAATGACCCAGAAGTATAATCGTATACCAGCTGGGGTCATACTTCCTTACTAATAGGTCCTTAAAGTGTAAGTCTCATGGAACAAGAAACAAACAGAAATCAATTCTGAGGAATCCGTTTGAAGTCACAGGTTCAGCTACAGGAGCAGGAGAGTCAGGTGATGAGGATGGGATCACAAATGAGGTGGAAACGGGTGGCATCACAACCAAGGAAGAAGCAGGGGGAAAGCTACTACCAGTAAGTCCTAGAAAGATCCATAAGCAATGCACCGGCTGTGGTGTATTGCAGAGACTACCGGCAGAAAGTTGTACAGTGGTTAAGGGAGCAAGAATCTTGCAACATGCCTAGAAAAGCCCAAGTTTAGGTTCCTTGATATTAGAGTCTCAGGTAGATATGGCAGCATAGGAGAAATAGCATTGAATAAGGTAGAAAGTAGCAACAAAAGAATTGTCTGCTTTGGGCATGTGAAATGTACGTGTCCCTAAGTACCTAAGTATATAAGCTCTCCTTTGGAAAACCACCCTATTTAAATGAAGGGTCAAATTATGAGTGCCCTGAAGAAATGCTCTCTTTTCATCTCTGTATAACATGGACTAAAAGACCAAAGTCATTTAAAGATATCTCAAGCTCACTTTACAGGTATAGCAAGTTTCCTCAGCAAACTAACTCTTCCAGAGTGCCCTTAGCTACAATGTGCCTATGCCAGAATGCATGTATGCTTGATTTCAATGGGAGATAACTGCCTGGACCGTTGTAGCTAAAAGTTCAGTTATTGCATATGAGTAGTGGTCTTCCTGGTTCATCCTCATCTCAGGGCCTCAAAAAAAATACCCATATGTTATTGCCAGAATGGAATACTATAGGAAATACACATTGGTCCTGTCTGTTTGGCCTTCAAAAATGAAATCAAAATTAAACATTATGCTTACTATTGGAGATCCCTGATGAATACATGTGTATGTAGTATAGTATAGTATAGTATAGTATAGTATAGTATAGTATAGTATAGTATAGTATAGTATAGACAGCGGAGGACAGGAGGGCCTGGCGGGATCTTGTTCATGGGGTCGTGAAGAGTTGGACTCGACTGTGCGTCTGAACAACAACAAAGTATAGTATACCATGTAGACTGCAAGAGAAACAAACTAATAACGTTACACAGGCTGTTTAACATGTACGTGCACAAAATTTTAAGAGAGGTATGGCAAGAGCAAGGTGAGATCTATATTTGGGGGGGGGGAACCCTGAATAACCTTAAGTACATGGAGTATTGGCACGTACTCATCAACAGATCTCACTGCAGGGACCTTGCTCATTCTGCAAACTAAACTGTCATTGGAGCACTATTAGTTAGAACTCTAGTTGAGCAATGGAACAAATGTTTCCTTTAGATCCTGAGGTGTCCTGTTTATGACTGTGAGAGGAATAAAGATGATCAGATGGGATAACATTATTGGTAAGAGATTAAGAAGTCATGTTTAGAAATGCTAATGCAGAAATCTCTTAGGAACCATAGGCCAACAAGGCCTGATGTTAGGGTTGCCAGGTCCCCTCCTCGCTCCAGCAGAGGGATTTGGGAGGGTGTTCTGGGGGGGGGGACACATGGGAGCCGTGGCACACAGGGATGGGGGAAATCAGCTTTGCTTGCTGCGGACCCCACCCCGCTCATAAAAAGACCCTTTAAAGGGTCTTTTTGAGAGCCGAGCCTGCGGCCCACAACTGCCCCCTCCCTCCTTCCTGCTAGATTTAAAGGGTCCTCCAGCTGGTCAGCGGTACCCATGGTCCCCGTGGAGCAGCTGAAGCCCATTAAATCTGGCAGAAGGGGTGGTCAAGCCGGTGGTCGTGCTTGGGGGTGGGGCTTGGGAATGGGAGTTCCCCACTGGCCAGCTGGCAGGGGGCTGATTGGAGCCCCCAAAAGCGGGTGAACCCCTGCCTGGACCTGGAGGCTGGCAACCCTACTCGAAATGCCTTGAGGACATAACAGGGCCCTTCCTAGATCACACCAGTATTTCATCTAATCTAGCATCCTGGTTTCCACAGCAGCCAACCAGATGTCCCTTTTGCCGCAGAAGGCCTACATACAGGACATGGAGATGAATTCTTCCTCTAAACATGGGGGAATGTATTTAGGCATCATAACTAATAGACTTCATGAATTTGTCTCATCTTTTAAACATTTATTTTAGCTAGTGGTAGGGTTGCCAGGTCCCTCCAGGAGGGGGTGGGGAGACTTACCAGGAGGAAGAGAAAGGCCCAGGCCATGCCAACAGCATTGCAGAGGAAGTGACACAGTCACATCAGCAACTTCTGGACAACACTCTGGTATCTGGACAAAAAATCTATGGTAAAACCAGCTTTTGCCATCGAGTTTTTGCCCAAATACCAGAGTGTCACTTCCTGTGCAATGCTAGCAACATGGCCTGGACCTTCCTCTTTCTACTGCTAAATCCTGCCCCTTGCTGGCCAGCTGATTGGCAGCTGGGAGGCAGGGCCTGGTGGCAGGGGAGTCTTGCCTCCACGGGAGGGGGTGTCTGGCAACCCTAGCTAGTGGCCATCACTACATCCAGGGCAGTGAGGGTCCTGGCAGACTAGGCTGGCTGTTTTGTGTTTTGGCATTCCCAGTCATATTGGGGCACTGGTTTGGATCTTTAAATTTAGTCCAAAGGATTAAAGAATGGCCTCATTTCTGGTTGGGAAAATGACTGAGGGAAGAGGAACTTAAAACTCACCCACCCTGCGCCACAGTGCTTTCCTTTGTCCGTCCTGAACCTACTGTCCATCATCTTAATTAGGTGCCCCTGAGTTCTGGCATTATCAGGGCTTGGGGGGGGGGAGGTGCTGGAACTCTCAAGAGGGAAATGAAGTTTTCAATCAGTATACTGAAAACTCATACACTTTTAAACTTTTTTTAAAAAAAAAATTGTCAAATAGGTTCCGGAACGCTGTTCCCACGTGTTCCCCCAGAAAAAAAGGCCCAGGTATTATACAAAGAGACAAAACATTCTAAAAATTCCTATCATGGCCCCCTTAGTTGTCTTTTCTCTAAACTGAAAGCTCCCAGACACTGTAGCCTTTTCTTATAGGGAAACTGCCTTTGTTCAAGAACAAGCTGACCCTGTGAACTTCAGTGGTGAAACACTTTTAGCCTTAGCAGTCTGTGCACTGACTGCTTTACATGGCTGCTTTGTATGGAATCTGATATCCAATTTATATTCCAATGTTTAAAAAAACAACAGTTGCTTTCATTTCTGACATCAGAAATTGAATTGAGATTACTACAAACAGAGACTATTTTAAGGTTCTGACCCTTCCAAAGCCATCTACTTTAATTTGTTATTTAAACACACCAGAAACTTACTGTGCAGTCAGGTATAAAAAATTGCAACGGCAGCTCCTGTCATTTGTTGTGCTTCTTGAGGTTGGCTGATGCCGTTTAATTCAGTGACTTCCATAATGGCCAATTCTGAAGTAACCTGCCTGTAAAACAAGTTACTGTACAATAATCTTCAATCACAAATTCATTCACATGCCTCCATGTAAAAATATAGATACTTTCTTAAAAGATTTCTCGGATTCAGCTGTGAGTTGCTCAAACTCAGCAAAATGACTTATCAAATTATTTGATAGTACATATACTGCGTTTTTCAGCTAGATTGGCTTTCAAAGTGGTTTATAATTAAAACGTATCACATTGTTAAATGACAGAAATTGCTGAGATGCACAGTTTGGAGCAGGGTTGGGGTATGTCATCTCAGATGTTAGCCTTTCATTCTCACCTCACCTTCCAGGTGGCTTCAGTATCTGGGTCCTAGCGTGTTCCTGCCCAATGTCAAGGGCTTTCTTTCTGGAAGTACATCCTGATGAAAATAACCTGAGAAGTATAGCTGACCTTATTCAGGGGAAATCCAGGAGTTGTTAAAGCCTGGTGGAATGCTCTTTGTTATAAACTAGGAATAAGGGCCATTGTGGAAATACATACAACGAGCTGTAGAAAGAGGCTCTGGGTGGGTGCCCTGGTCTTTGGCACGCAGCATCAATTTGCTGTGGTGAC